TTGCCTCTCACCCCTGCAGAAACTATTGGCTCACTCTGATGTGTGATATATTGTTTATGATTTATTAAAGTCATTGGAGATCAAAATAGCAAAGCAGCTCATACTAGTTAGCTATAGAAGCCAGGAAGCCCTGCTTCAATCACGGATCTTCTCGGTTATTTAGACTAAGTTCCCATGCCGGGCCTCGGTCTAACAAATAGCTGCCCAAGCTGCATCTGCATATCTCAAGCAGCTTTCTCATCGCTGAATGAGAAGCAGTTCTATAGGCTGCACCCATGAGAGCCATGACTGTCAAAGTCACATGGCCTACAGGGAGTTTGCTATGAAAGCTGGTCTTAGATCCTATCACAAGAGTTGTGGTGGTGACTTCTGGGTACTGGAACTTAAAGAGGCCCCAGGTGCTGGCAATAGGCATGACCTTGATGGTCCTCCTGCCACACCCAGCTATCTGGCCCTCTGTGCTGACAAGGGAACTAGGCCTCTCTTAGAAGTAACCTGCTGTGCAGCTCCCATTATCCACCAGGGAAAGCATGACTCATAGCCTGTCATTTGCCATCACAGCCATCAGGACCAACAAGCTCTTTCAGAGTCTAGCAGACCCTTTGATCTCCACTGCAGCCCTGAGACTCTTGGTTCTGCACTGCTCAGGGCACTAGTAAAGGAAGCAAGAAGTGAGATGGAGATCTCTGTCCTGGCCACTGTCAGGGTCTCTGGGTCCCTGCAGCCACACAAACTGAAAACACTCAATGTGTCCTCCAGAAAGCCAAGACACCAAACTCAAGCCACTCCTTTAACCTCTGGCTGCAAGTCCCTCACCATGCTTCCTGGCCTTGCCTTCTGCCAGCTATAGTGAGACTGACAATCACAGGTCAGCTGAGGGACAATGAAAGGAACCACAATAGTGGGACCAGGAGTGTGTCCTCTGTATGTCTTCTGTATGGACCCACCATGACCTCTGACCTCTAATCCACAGTGTGTGTGTGTGTGGGGGGGGGGTAACAGAGGGGAAGTACTGGCTTAGGTCTGTCTCCCTGAGGGAGACTTCAGCCTCCCTTGGAAGGCTTCAAGGCTTCGGGAGTCCCAGAAAGACCTGCAACAGCAGAAGGAAAGATTCCAGCAGGTTCTGCCACTCGACCAGTGTCTGCCCTGGGCCAGGTCTCCTCAAGCTGCAAGAATTTCCCATGCTTAACCTATAACTAGGCTGCCCAGGTTGCCCCAAGCAACAGCTCTGGCATTCACACTGGGGTCCTCAAAGCCCTGGCTTCGGGCCTATGGGCGTGGCCTGCTCTGTGGCCCAGACCACCCTGTGGGGGAGGGGAGGAGAGATGATGGGAGAAGGTAGCTTCTTTCCCAGAGGTTTTCCTTAGGGAGCATTTCAGTGCCTCCTAGTTGGGACAACTACAGAGGACTGGTGGATAGTGCCATCTTCTGGCAAGAATATGTAACAGCGCCTGGCTCGTTTAGCAGGGGCCTCTATACTTCCCTTTTTGGAGGTGTCCTGGGAGAAGAGATGACCTCATCCAGTGAGGCCAAGATAAAGACTGCAGTATGAGGGAGGACCCCGCCTTCAAACCACCATTACTGTGGACTTCCTTTGTGACCCTTACAGAGTTCGCCTCTACCCATAACCCCAGCACTCAGAAGGCAAAGAAATACTGATATTCGAGAGAGTCTGGGCTAAAAAATGAGACAGTGTCCCTCAAAACATGCAAAGTCTAACATCTCTGCCTCTTAGATGGGAATAGTGTGTGGTTGTTGAGGAGGTGTGTCACTGGGGGTGGGCTTTGAGGTTTCAAAAGCCCATGCCAGGCCCGGTCTCTCTCCCTCTGCCTGATGCCTGCAGATCAGGATAGAAAGCTCTCAGCTATGGCTCCAATGCCATGCCTGTCTGCTTCCTGACATGATGGTCATGGACTCACCCTCTAAAACTTTGAGCCAGCTCCAGATTAAATGCTTTCTTTTATGAGTTACCTTGGTCATGGTGTCACTCAGCAATAGAACAGTAACTAAGACAGCATCCAAAATTGAAAATCAACAAGCTCTTTTGTAATCAAAGCTGCCATTATGTGAAAATTTGGAAGGTCCAGTCTTCCAACCTTGGTCAAAGAACCCAGGGTTTCTGCTCTAGATATATAATAATGAAGAGAATAGTGCTGGTTAGTGTCTGTCAACTTGACACAAACTATTATCAACCTGGGAAGGGGACCTCAACTGAGGAATTGCCTCCATAAAATTGGCATGCAAGCATGTCTAAAGAACATATTCTTCATTAGTGATTAATATGGGGCCTTCTGTGGGCAGCGCAACCCCTGAACATGTGGTCCTGGGTTGTATAAAAAAAGCAAGCTGGGCAAAGCATAGCAATCAAACCAGTAAGCAATGTCTGTCCACCATCTCCTTCAGTTCCTACCCACAGGGTTCCTACTTTGAATTCCTGCTCTGGCTTCCCTTGATGAAGAGCTGTAACCTGTAAGGTAAAACAAACCCTCTCCTCCCCAAGTTGCTTTTAGCCATGGGGTTTACTATAGCAACAGAGAAGCAAACCAATACAGAGATAAAGTTAATTTTGACCTGGGAAGATGGGGCTGGAAGAGCCAGAGCAGGGGTAGAGACAGTAGAAGGTGGGTTCCCACTCTCAGATGAAAACAGTCTCCCAATTCCTGCAACAGATTCAGGGGATAGGAAGCAGATTCAGGTGGTAAAGACCTCTGGGGAATCTGTCTGCAGAAGGTACTCCCTGAGGCTGCCCCACAGAGAATGCTGTACCTACCAAACTCAGAAGCCCACATTTTTTCAGGGAAATCAAATAGCTGGAGAAAATGTGAGTGAATAAACATATATAAATAAGTAAATGAGCATATTTAGAGGGAATGGGTGTATTTTCTAAGTACAATTACATTGTTAAAACCATCAGGAGTCATAGTCACAACTGGCACTTCATTAAAAAAATACTGAAACATGAATGTAAAATACTCAGAACATGAATGTAAAATACTCAGTCAACAGAAAATTGACTTTACCAAATGGTCAGACTCAACATTGCCAATCTCAAACGACACTTGCCACTGACCCATGAGCTACCAGCTGATCTGGCAATGGTGCTGATGGACATCTGTCTGCCTCTCTGCTTTGATGTGGGAGTCCATAATCATTTCCTGAGGCAGCCGACCAGCTCCGTGGTGTTTCCCTTCAATGGGATGTGCAGATACGCCACTAAACAAAACCATCTTTGAAATCAGCTCTCCAAAGAGAGGGCCTGGCTCTTTTTCTTTTATCTTCAGGGCCATGGCCATATCTCAGGCTCCAATGTGTCCAAAGTTAATCAAGGTGTACATTTTTCTCAAAATATACAGGTCCAGCTTTTGTGTTTTTTTCATATGAGCAGCCAAAGCCAAGACATTGGAGTTTGGTCCTCGCTTCTGTCCCTTTGGTTCCCAAAGTATAGTTCATGGAGATGTGGACTTCTCCTACACCTTTAAAGAACTGTTTTCATGACAATATCAAGATACCAACTGTTGTGACATTTGTATTGATTGTAGAATAGATCTTATGTATCTTTAACTGGTATTGTTTGTAATAGATGGTATTGTATCTTTAAATGTATCTTTATCTAAAATCTGGAAAAATATGCCTATCTCTGTGATCTTGGAAGTGTGGGCAGCAGTTATTAGCAGATGTGGCTGTATCTCATATTGTCTAATAAAATGCTCTTGTCTACATTTGGAAAATCCATATAATCCAATGCACGTGCTTTCAGAGACACCAATGTATTATGTCACAAAATCATATGGGTAAAATTTCTATGAACAGGGCATTGAAGGCCAGTGGATATTCATATAACACCACAAAAGCTGAAAGGACTTAGAGATGTGAGGAGCATTTTGATATCAGACATGGAGATGCAGAGTTTGGAGTTTGCACACCTCGTTTTCACTCTTGCTTTGGCCCAGTATTTCCTCACTATGCTCCCTTCCCTACGTTTTGGAATGGTAAAGTATATCCTGTGCCAGCACCAGGGCATATCACACAATGATGATAATGGATTGAACCTCTGAACTGTAAGCCAGGACCACAATTAAACGTTTTCTTTGTAAGAGCTGCTGTGGTCATGGTGTCTCTTCATAACAACAGAAAACCTAACTGACACAATATGTAACAGTATAACACAGGCATTCTTCATTTCCTTAGTATAATTACTGATGTCAGAAAAAATAAACACTACCATGCTCAGACATCATCCAACTTGTCACCAAGATTTGTTTTCTAATGAAAACATTCAATACAGGGGCTGTGTTAGATTGCCATGCTCCTTTAGTCTGATTGCTACAGCACTAACAGAAGTATGAGGGAAAATCAAAACAGGACTTGCCTGGCTGTTTGAGGGATGATTAGTGAGTGAAGGAAATAGGGAAAGGGTCCAGCCATGAGCCCTCTTGAGCTGCCTCTGGAGCTTCTTTCATGGCTAAGGAGTCACCATGGACCTGGAATAAGATTCCAACTGATGCTTTTCACACAGCACTATACAGCTTTATAGGAAGTCCTATGAAGACCACAGTGACCATCATATAGCTAACTGGAATGAACATACAGGCACAATTGCAGGGAAACAGATCTCCCCCACTGGGTACAAATTTTTATCTTCTGTGCTCTCCTCTTCCTCCTGATAGGGATAGGCTCTTGCCATGTAGTTCAAGATGGTCTCATGGTGTCCAGGGAGGCCAGAAGAGGGTGTCAGATCCTCTGAGGCAGGAGTTGCAGACTGTTGTGAGCTGACATGTGGAAGGTAGAAATTGGGTCCCAAGTCCTCTGGAAACACAGCTAGTGCTCTTGACGACTGAGCCATCTTTCCAGTCCCTCTTAAATCCTAAAGCAGTCAGTCTTCTAACTATATTCTTCCCTCTTTCAAAAGTGCAGTGACAAAGTATTGTTTGCCTTTAATAGTGTACTGCTTACCCTGTATCCTTGCCCACAGCACAGAGAGATCAGACCAGACACAGTGGTAATCACAGGTAAAACATTTATTATAAATATCATTAGTTGTTTAGATGAGGAAAAGGAATGAGGCACTGGGTTACTTAAGTAGAGTCTGGAAAACACAGAGTAACATAGAGTAATTCCTGAAGAAATCTATGAATGTCATTTTGCTCCAGTAGGTCTGACTCACCAGCACTTGTTTCTATGCATTGATTTCTCACCACTGACTGGACCTGTCCTATAAGCACAGGACTCAGAGCATGACTACTGGATTTCCAGGTCAGCTCTCCAGAAGGCCTCTGTGTGCAGATGCCAGTTAGGACTTGTGTGCAGCATCGAACCTCACTGTGTAGCTAATGGTCTTCTCCATGGATTAAGACCCTCCTTGTCTGGAGTTTGCCTTTTCCCCTCAAAGAAGTTAGAGCTCCAATACAGAAGCCATGCAGAGGATGAGAACTCATCCATCACTCACCACTAAGCTGGCGGCACTTCAAACCAAATATTTCACCAGCATCTTAGGTTTTTGAGAGAAAGGACCATCTCACTGTCCCTGAGGAATGATACTGCTGTGAGAGCTTTTCTCTAGAAGAAAACGGAATGTTTCCAATTGTGCATCAATTATCACCATCGCTACGGACTATGAAGATTATTGGGTCTAGGATCTTAGGATTGAGTCAATTAAGAGAAGGCAGCATAGCACTTCCTCCCCTGCTCAGTCAGGAATATGCTTTCAGAGATGAAGAAATGCAAATTTTAATTGGTGACTTCTGTGCATTCACAAATTTCTTCCAAATCAATAAAGTTTAGGCAAATGGGGAAAGAATTTATGTTAATGTTTTACTCAACAATTTAAAACCTTTCCAAAAGTTATGTCGTAGAACAATTTCAGATGGAAAGGACCATAGGGTAGCAAACGGCATCATGAATGGTGTCAGTGGTTCACTGCTTCCTGTCCATGGAGCTCCAATGGAGGAATCACACCGATGAGCCACTCCATGGCCTTACACATCTGATATAGACAGTCCGTCCCTCCTTTCTTGATCTAGACGAGCCTGCAGGAAACTGGAATTTTAAGGCTCAGGAGGAGCCCGCTGGCCATCCTGGAGCAGGTCAGAGTCAGGATCCTTCATCACTTCTGTCTAGTTAGTTGATAAATGTCAAGCAACCTTGATTCTTGGTTTACTGTGGGAGGATCAGGAAGACACGCTGATGACATCAGCCATGATCTGCACAAAGTCTGGATTGATTTCCCCAGGTATCTGAAGGGAAAGCCAAGTTCACTGCCAGCGCCCCCTGCTCATTGCTCTCTGCAACTGGAAGAGGAGGATGTGCTTGTCTGTCTTACACAATTCACATAACTGACTGCACATTCATGGGTGGCTTTTCATTTTCTAGTATGTGTTTCATAATTGCATCCAGGACAAGCAATGCTAAAGTAATAATTCAACGGAAATCACCTATATTTTGAATTTCTTCCACTTGTAAGGATCCTGTTGGGCAAACCGCACTGTACAGTGCTGTTGGGCTTCTCGTAGAAAGAGGAATCTTTGTGGAGATGACTGTGTTTCCTGAGTCAGGGAACACACAGAATGAGTCAGCCAATGTGTTCACTTTAGTTCAAGCACAGGGAGCTGGGATCTGGTGGTCTGTCAGCCAAGAGGGTCTCACGTTTCCTTTTCAAGCTTTAAGACTAAACATTCACCCCTAAGCACAGCACATCTACAGACCCCATGTACTGGCTGTATGTGCATTTTCCCTGAGCCAGCGTTTATATTTTGGGCAGCTTATTATTCATCCAGTCAGCAACTATGGCAGCCACCTCCTGGTTAAAACCAAGGACAAAGGCATGTGCTATTCCTTTCTCACAGAGTCGGATATCGCCTTCCGGAAAATCTTTCTTCATGTCTTCATAGTACTTTACTGGACACCAACCGTCTGTTTTACCATAGTAAAATGTCAGCTGAAAGAGAAAAAACAGCATTTCACCCTCTGCTCCCAATATCAACCAAAACCAGTGGATTGCAGGGCTTTGACAGCAGTAACTTGCCTGACTCTATCCTCTGTATTAAGGTCACTTCAGAGCCCTCAGACACCACAGGATTCATTAAGGAGTGTGATAGCATGAAACCCACCTGGAGACTTTGTGTGGCAGACTCCTCTAACTTGCTAAAAGACACCTGGCCAGATCATGTGTACTGAGGCTGGAGTGGGTATAGGGGAGAAGGAGATGAAGGCCTGTGAGACAGTTAAGTAGACACAGTCACTATGAGGCTAGAGGTCACACTCTGTTTTCATACAGAACTTTGGTAGGCACAGGGCTGTTCCCACTGATAGGACAGGCTAAGCAGAGGATGGGTATAGAGCTAGGGCAGACAGCTCCTTCCCTGAGGGCATTCTGCCCATTTATAAAGTCACATGGTAGCCTGGCCTGGGGCAGCAACAGTACTACCTGCCCTGCCACAGCTGCCCACCTCCTTGCCCGGGCTGCAGCCAACATGCTCTCTGTGAACAAGTGAGGCTCCTGTTGACAAGAGTGATGCTCAGATTTAGTCTGGAAGCAGCACACAACAGCTGTTTCCAAAGCCTGGACCAAAAATGGTCACTGCAGTTCAGGATTTCCCTCCTAAGTGAGTTTTCAGTGAAATCTCTTTCTATGAGGGGATCATGTATCTCCTTATAGTTTAGAAGACTGACAGAATAGGGGACTGGAACCTTCATGTTACTCCAGGCACACCAGGTACCTGATAAAGCACAGCAGACACCGGGGACTCCCACACAAAGCAGAGTGGTGAAGGGTACAGTTGAGTTCCTTCTCTTGGCTTACTCTAGTCCAGAGCTCACCTAGTGCCCCTCCCACCTCTACACCCATTATGCTCACTGGCTCCTCTTTCCCCAAGCTTCAGCTTGAAATGGCCAAGCATCAAGCCTCACATTGCTTCTTTCTTTATATTACAGATCTCCGTAGGTGGCCACTATGCATAGTCACGGCTCCAACTATAGACCTATCATGCCCAAACCAAAACTGATCCCAGGCTCCTCTTTTTAGGATTCATAGCAGACATCTGGGCATGGATATGCCACAGGTGTCTCATACACAAGCACCAACCACCTCCCACAGCCTGGGGCTACTTCCCCATCCTCCCTTACACCAAATCTAGACCAAGGGCAACCAACAGTCTCAAGGTCCCTCACCCATCTGCTAATATCCCACCTGAAATAAGGGTCTTTGATTTTTCCTCCTGAATCTTTTCTTCCCCAACCCCACTGCATCCATTCTTCTAAAACCCTTAAACAGACATGCCACCTAAAATAAAATGTTTCCCAATATTCTAACACTTTCCCCAAATTCATCCTTCAACCACATTTTTAGTGATAACTGATACATACTGGGATAGCTGAATGGGCTGTGGGCAGCTGCTATGTGTTCTGATGGGTCACTAAGTAAATCTTGTAGTTTCTAAATATTTGTTACATCACTCAGTGGTTAGATCAGTGGTTCTTAGCCATCCTAATGCTGTGACCCCTTAATACAGTTCCTCATATTGTGGTGAATCCTAATCATAAATTTATTTTGATTGCTACTATATAACTGTAATTTTACGGTTAAGGATCTTAATGGAAATATCTGTTTTTCCAATGGTCTTAGGCTCCCGCTAGAAGGGGTGGTTCAACCCACAAATGCACCCTGACCCACAGGTTGAGAATGGTTGCTCTAAATGCTGTCCCTGGCTTATGACTCACTTATGTCCACACCAACACATCATGCTACTCAGCCTCTCTTTCCCTAATGTGGGGCTTTTAACTTGGAGTCTACAGGCCCACCTAGATTCAGTGATTGGGATAAACTTGTTATTTACCCCTAGTTATAATTTAATATTTCATTCAATTATAAATAGAAAATAAGCCACCATATTGTAAATACATATATACTCAAATCATAGTAAATTTACTGTAGATGACTAAAAACTGAATTACACTCATTTCTACAAGCTCACAGTAGCAACTCTACCATATCTTTAATTTTATTTAAGTTTTAATCATATGAGTGTGTGCATGTGTCTGTGTGTATATACACATGAGCAGAGGTGCACATAGAGGCCTGAGGTATCAGATCCCCCTGGGCCTGGAGTACAGCGGCTGTGAGTTGCAGATGTGGATGTGTGACCTGAACTTGGGTTCTCTGCAAGAGCAGCACTTACTGCTAACCATTGCACCATCTCCCCAGCACCTGTTACTACATCTTGCTTTTCAATGTGTCAATAAAGATGCACAAAGAACTGTATCACAAATTAGTTTTTAAAGTATTTTGCTGACTGAATTTCAGTATAATTTGTATTCTATAAAAGTGTTCTGACTGACCTGTCTTTCCACCCACCTATCTAGAACACATTCACTGATGGTTCGCCAGACACCATCTGTGTTTCTGGACCCTCAGACGAAAATGACAGTTCCTCTGTGGGATGGGTGAGTCGAAGGCTGTTCATTTACACACTGTGTGTGACAAATGTGATATTCTAACTCTAAACAGGGAGCCATGAGAACCACGATTGCAGCTGGGAAAACTTCCTGGAGATGACAGTGGGAGCCAAGATGAAGGAAAAGTGGGATTGGGCCAGGTGAAGAGACAGTGTGACCTTTGACATCACCGTTGTGCAACACTCCTTTAGAAACACCTAAGAGGCTGTGTTTTCATCTGGAAAGGGAAGCAATTATGTACTACCGGAGAATGTAAATCAGTACAGCTATCCATTAGTAGGCATGAATTTTCCAGATCTTGCAAGGACGACAGTTGGCCAAGATTTTCAGAGCTAAATTGGTCAGGTTCCCAAAAAAAAGTTAAAATATTTAAAGTCTCTAAAAATTGTTAAAGCCTTTAAAAATATTAAAGCCTCTCTTTGTGTGAGCAGTGGAAATCAATGGCAGAAAATCTGAATGTGACTTTAAAGCCAAAGCCTGCAGAACAGGGAGGAAAAAGGGTCCAGAAAGTAAAGCATGATGTGGTAGAGAGATTATTTTTAGACTAGTTTTCACATGGCGTCTTAGATGGCACAAAAATACTCTTTATGTAAGGGATTTGAGTTTATATCTGAGATACAGTGAAAAGTTTTTGTACCAATGATAGGTCAGAAACTTCACACTGGGCAATGTGAATAGGCAGGATGGTTCTGCGTACCTCCGCCTCAGTGGAAGTGGAGAGAGGGCGTCCTTGAATACGGCATCTAAAGCAGAGGCATTTACAGTCTCAGCAACTGGGCTTCCAGCTTTGACTAAAACAGCAGTTCTCAACCTGTGGGTCGCCACACCTTTGGTGGCCAAGGGACCCTTTCACAGAGGTTGTCTAACAGCGACCACCCACAGCACAGATATTTAGACTACAGTTATGAAGTAGCAGTGAAAACAATGTTATGGTTGGGGGTCACCACAACATGAGAACTGTAAGGGGTCACAGCTTTAGGAAGGCTGAAAACCAGTGCAAGAAACCATCTCCAGAAGAGGGGAGGCAATGCCCACCTTCCTAGAACTATGTGTCCAGTTAACTTCCCTTGTTTTCCTAAGCTGATGGGGACACATTATGTTAGGTCACCTTTATCAAAATTAAGTTGCAGCATATTTCCTCTTATTTCATTACATCATACGAAGCTGCCATCACTTCCCGTCTCTCTGTGTTCGCTCAGGAATGCTGAGGAACAGGGACAGCCCTGTCTGAGTGGAGAGCTGCTGTTTGGTTGGTAGAAGGCGTCTCAGTGAACTGACTTAACGAGTTACTGTGAGACAGAAATGGAGCTGCACCCCAGCATGATGAACAGCACCGGACATGCCTTAAATTCTACCATGCATTTGATGTTATCATCTTAGAAACACAATTACTCCCTGGAGTTGGAGAGCTTCTCCCGAGCCTGTGCTAATATTAACCTTCAGATGTTGACTGTGTACCAGCACACTCCCAGGCTTCTCCAGAGAAAGTGTCAAAACTTCCAGTCCTGCCACAATGTGTGAGCACACCTCTACCTGGGAATGACTACACATGCATATGGGTTTAACTTAGCAAGGGATAAGTTAGCACCTTCTCTGACCTCTTTCTCAGCACAATGTACAAACAGGATCTGGACTGAGTAGGATTTTGCAGCAGCTGGCTTCCCCAGGTGGGAACAGGCTCTAACATGTCAGGCCCAGTCATTCCCCAAGTGTGAATTTTGGAAGCAAGGGTCTGGCAATCCTACCATATAGCAGGACTTGAATTGTTTTCACAAACTTCCTGGAGAACTAAAATGCAGTTTGGAAACAGACTGGGTTATAACTTAACTACAAATAAACTGCTGTTCTCTGGTCATTTCATGTCCTCAAGGCTGGAAATAAATATTGCACAGCCCTGGAGAGTAGTTGGTCCTCCTTGCCCAACCTTCCCCTATCAGCTAGGAACAGTTTATCTTAATTCAAAATTTCTCTCTCTTGACAACTGCTGCTTAGGAAATAGGATGACCACTAATATGAAGATGATATAATGACAAATAGGTTGACATAAAGCAAACAGATACTGGCAATTTTAGCTACTGTTGGAGTTAATTTTTTAACACAATAAAATCTTTTCTAAGTAATATATCTATATCTATCTATATCTATATCTATCTATCTATCTATCTATCTATCTATCTATCTAATGCTTGCTTTCAGAAGACTGTATCTGGGGTTAAAGAACTATGAATCTCCACTGTGGACAAGCTTCAGGTTACTGTGTCACAGTTTAAGAAGAGGCTCTCAATGCAGTGCCATCTCTAAGATTTGACCGGCAGGCCCTATCAGAATCAGTCATCCATCAGGGATCATTCTACCATATCCAGCAGATGTCAGTGTCCCACACCAACTGTAAAGCCCAGCTGGTCAGTGTTGTCTACAGAAACATGAACCAAGGCAAATATGTGCCTGAAGAAATTTCTAGTAATAATGTTAAAAGAGTACGAAGGAATAAGTAAAATTACCTTAGCTGTATTTTAAATAAATATCTAAACTATTTCAACGTGTAATCAATATATCAATGGATATTTTCCTCCTAAGATACTAATTTTTTTTTGCCTGTGCTGCTCATGTTGAACTCAGGTCTTATACAATAACAGGCAAACTCTACCACTGATCTATATTGAGCACCAGGTTTAAAAAAAAAAAAAAAAAACAAGTCAATGTGCATTTATACTTATAAAGCATCTCAATTCAAACTAACCACACATAGCACTTCTAGTGTGTGGGTGTTGAGGTTTAATAGTGCAGCTCTGGGCCATGGGCAAAGTTCAACAGCAGGTCATGTGCCCTAGGAGATGTGCAAGGTCCTAGGTTTGATGGAATCAAAGCAACAGAACAACAGTGCAGATTTGGGCAGGAGAGATGGTGCATAGGTTAAGAGCACTGGCTGCTCTTCCAGATAGCCCTAGTTCAATTCCCAGCACCCATATACCAGTACACAACTGTCTGAACTCCATTTTAAGGGGATCTAACACCCTCATGCAGATATACACGCAAGGAAAAACAATGCACATAAATCAGATATTTTTTTAAAAAAAAAGCAGATATACCCTCTTCAGGATGACACAGACAGATGGCATCCCAGAGGTGCCACAGTTATCCATATATTAGGACATTTGGGCATATGGTAGCTTTATAGCTTTGGCGATCAGCACTTCCAAATGTATTTGTGTGAGTCTCCTGTTTGCAGGTACCAAACACCTCCTGATACATCAGAAAGCTACTCTTTATGTGAGAACAACAGAGCCCTGAGTTGGAAAATGAGAAAGATAGGCTTCCTGTTCAGTAGGTCATGTGCAATGTTAGCTCTTTTCCTCTGTTTTAACTGTTACATTTCCATATAACTCATTTATTCTACAGATGCTATTGACTTCTCAGATTAATAGACTGTTAAGAAAGGAAAGTGTTGTACACAATGACTATGTATTACTCTTACTAGTTAATGAAAAAGCTGTTTGGCCTATACCAAGGAAAAATAAAGTTAAATGGGACAATCAAACTGAGTCTGGGATGAAAAAGGGAGGAATCAGAAGAGACTCCAAGGAGCTGCCCAAAAAACAAGATGCTAGAACATAGGCAAAGCCATGAGCCACAAGGCAATACACAGATTAATGGAAATGGGCTAATGTAAATAAAAGAGCTAGTCAGTAATAAGCCTGAACACTGTGTAATTAATATAAGTTTTACTGTGTTATATGGAACCAGCAGTTGGGACAGAAAAGCTCCACATGAGTTTCCAGAGAAGCACTGATTTTTTTAAAAGTAAATTCAACAAAACAAGTGGCAAAATACACTGATGTGGCTGTAATCAGCTCCACTTACTCCATGTAACTTTTACAGGTAAAAGGACTCCATCTGAATCTACACAGGCTCAATGTCTTCAGTTCTTGGCCAATTCTAACCTCGTGGCCTTAGTAAGTATTTCTACCCATCAAATGGCATGCATGCAGCCTCAAAGTGGTTACCTTAGGTAAATGTTCCTTTATGATTTCATCATCTCTCTTCCGCACATGTATCATTTCTTGACTCCCAAGGTAGGCAGCATTAGCTTCATTAAAAAACAAATGAACAAACTAACAGTTAAACACATAAAATATACAGAAGAAACACAAATATTAAATTAATTTTAGCAAATTCATATGATTCCTTTTTCTAGAGTCTAAGTGCTATTTGACATTAGATACTGTGGGTCCAAAAGATACAATGAGCTCCCTGGCAGGCTTGCAAAGGCAAAATGTGTTTACAGAGGACTATGTCTCAAGGGTTTAGCCAACCCTGGGAGGGGCAGCCTACCCTGGCCAGCAAGGCCCCAAGATACCAATGCATCCTAGGGGATAAGAACATGACCAACACCCTTTGGGCAAGTTAAGGAGCTCCACTGGTATTCTTCATCCCTGCATGACAGCCTGGAAATATCAACCAATCAAAGGAGAGGATTCTAAAACTCACTTCACTGGTTTCTCTTTTCTCAGAATCTCTGCTTCACTGTCCAACATCCACTGCCTTAAAGATGTTGCATTCACATATTGTTTTTTCAGTTGTTTTTGGCAAGAGGGTAAATGAAGTCCTTCTTGTTCAACTCAGACATGAAGGAGCTAGATGAAGTTATTTCCATTTGAAATGAAAATCCACTTGAGATTTTCCCAAAGCAGATATTTGGAAACAAGCAATTTAAACACCTTGGCTACTTTTACAATTCCAAAGTCTTCATTAAGAGATTACAAGTTTGTCTCTGGAAGTATCTAGAAACATGACACACCTCAGATTCCATGAGGAAGACTTTGCGGCTCTGTTTACATTCAGAAATCATTTTTAACCAATGTTGGCCACAGTTTAGATATTTCTTGGCTACAAGGTTTTATTAACAAAATAATAAAACACAAGGCAACGAGTCTCACATTTAGTGCTGTAGAGCAGAAGAATTGAATTCACACATGTGGGACCTTGGGAGGCCCCTCCATGGCTGTCATTATTGGTTAGGCCTTCTCACAGCCCACAGGAGAGATTTATCAGTCATCACACATTTCCAGGGTACCTTCCTACCATCCTCACAGGCTGGAGTGTCATCAAGATGGAAAGTATTGAATCAAAGCTCTTATTCTCAGTAATCTGCCTTGTAGGAAAGGGACAGAGATGCTGCTGAACACAGCCTTTCTATGCATGCCACCCACCAAGGTCTCAAACGCCAGCTATTTACCCTCTGGAAGTTCTGACAGAGCAACCCAACATCCTACCCTCCACTTGAAATCACTCCAGGGCTAAGTACCAGATAGGAGACCACCCAGAGACTTCAAAAATTATAACAGCCAATCCTAGATTTCTCCACCCAGGTGCCCAGCCTGTGTTATCTCATCCTTCCATGGAATCCACAACACAGGCTATGACTCATCTGACCCTTCTGCCTCTTGACCTAATAGGGTGCATCCTTGTGTGGACCTGTCTGGTGTGGCATGTCCCCCATCACCGGGAACTGTAAGCAATAACCTCTCCTTTCAAAGTTAACTGTTTGCATGTCTATCATCTACCTTATCCAACTGAAACAATTCTAACTCCTTTCTGCATCAAGGAGACAGCATCTGGGAAGGTGAATGCAGTGGCTTTGGTAGAGCAGAGCCGTGGAGAGGAGAGAGCTACAGTGACTGAAGCTCCAGGGATCTACAAGGTGTCATCCTTGAGTTTCACCTGACCACTGACCAGCATAGTCATATGACAAATGGAATTCAGGGAATGGACCTCCAGAAGGGGTTGCAGGAACAATCCTTGATCTAGATACCATGATTGTTTCTGCCAGCCCAGGGAAGAGCTTCTTGATGAACAACACGGTAGCTAGAGGACTCAGACTCTCAACTGTGGCTAGCTTAGCCATACTACATTCAGCAATGACGACAGTACACAGGAGAGCTGGGATGTGGACATGTAGCTCTTCAGAATAGGAGAGAAGCTGGCTATTCTGGGCATCAAGATAGCACCCACAGAATGGAGAAAGATATGCACCATAAGGCAAAAGTACTGGTATCTGGATACATTTTAAAATTTCTAGAAATCAACAAGAAAGAGGCATATGAACAAACATTGAAATGGGTACAGACTAGAACTGGAAAAAAATCAGAACAATTTGAGATGCTCACATTTCTGAAAATAATGTCTTCATTGAGAATATACTCCAACCTATTGTTACTTTTATTTTTTTCTTGTCATTTTCTACCTAAGCATACTTCTTTTTTCTTTTAAACAAGACCTCCCATTTCTTGTCTAGTAACTGCTCGAGGAAGCCATCCTTTTCATTTCTCAGCAATGTCCCCAATGCAATACAGTGGTTAGAAGTAAAATACCAAACAGAAGAGTAAACTCCTAAGTGGAAAACACACTGCTTTTAGAAATGACTGTCAACAGCATGCCTGGAGAGCCAGCAGATTTCAGAGTTCCAGCACTGTTGAGAAGGAAATGTCTAGTAGAAGGAGAAAGGAAATGAAAGCATTTGTTTACCTAGGTTTCATTAAAGGCTAAATATAGGTGCACAATGGTTCACAAAGACTTGATGCTCTATTTTGTTTGCTACCAACACCTTCTGAAACATTCGACCCTCAAGTGTCACCATGGATGTCCTGCAGAGAGGCTGAGAGAGGGTTTAGGGCAGCTGAGACAGGGCTGATGGACAAGGACCAATAGGGCACTGACCTCATAGCACATTGTCACTGGGTTTTCCAATTGCTCACTGTCCCCAACAAAGGCTGCCTTATGTATAACCTAGGCCTGTCCTGATACAATCCACATGGCCAGTCACAGTCACCTCTGTTCTGTAACTCCTGTGGCCTGTCCTGCTGCAATTCACATGGACAGTTTCAGTCACCTCTGTTCTGTAACTGACCTAGCTCTGATTTTCTCTAAGAACCACTCAAGTCCCATATCTGTTATTCTGACAGCAGAAACGGCCACACACTAACATCGCCCACAGCTTCCTCTCCTACTCTACCATTAATTTACATGCAGTGTTTTGCTTATAGCAGGTATATAAAAAGCAGAGTTAAGGGACATAAATGGAAAGGGGCTGGGAGGTGGTTGCTTGGCTAGGTATTGTTGGAGGTGTGGGGAGGTAAAGCCTGCTGCTTTATTTAAAGTGGTCCAGGATCTGATATCACTACGGAGACCAAAGATAAAGGCTGAAGCACACTGATAAGCTAAGCAGGTACACAGTGGGATGGATCAGCACAGATAAGAGAGTGTGTAAGTGTTTCTGTTGACATCTGCAATAAACTTCTAACTCCCTAGGATGATGAAAGGGAAGTAAAAAAGTCAAGGTTCTAAAGAGATGCAGGAAGAACCTTGTGAAGCAGAAACACCAATATATTTACCACAGTGAAAGACAAAACTAGTGGCTGGTAGGGCATGACTATTAACACTACCACATTTAAGATTGGAAGATAATTTAAAGGGAAGTAAAAAGTATTTGTAGAAACAGAAAACAGTCATAGGAGTATTTAATTTTACAAGAGAGATGAGGTCCTAGAGCCATATAATTACCCTTGACCTAAATCTAGCACAAGCAAACTCCTTCTTTCTGCTCCTTTTTCTTGGATTTTAGACTTAGCTCCTCCAAACACTGGTTCCTCAGGTGGTTTATGAACAGATTTTCAGAGGCTTGCCTGAGTTGAGCAAGGAGATCACAAGGATGTCTGTTTTTTTTTTGTAGTAATAAAAAAATTAGTCTGGGACTAATTGAGAATATTCTGAGAAGAAATGGTGATTTGTTGTGAAATTTGCTATCATTAGCTCCTTAAACAGTTTAAAACGTTATTTCCATGTTTATTAAGAAAGAGGAAAGATTATGAAAGTTTCTTTCACAAGAATTATCTGGCAAAGTACTAGAACCTGGCAGGACTTCCTCAGATCTTGGGCTATGTTTCTCTCCTTAGGTAATGGAAAGGGATGAAAACATCAGGTTAGCCTAACAAAAAGACCTTCAAGCATTTTAAACTCTTAACTGTTTGACCTTGATACTGTTGAGCTAAAATATATTTTCTTTTAGCTTTGGTCAGAAAATCTAACTTAGCTGTCTTAGTGGGAAGACTGTGTCACATGAAATGGGAGCACAGCTGCTCCTGGGAACATAAGTAGCAGCAAATTCCCAGAGTTGAAATTAAGGGGGGGGTGGGGGGAGACCCATGTATAGTCTTTAAGAACATTTTAGACGATCTAGTTGCAATCTAATTGTCCTGGTGGATGCAGAGGTAATGATTATGCTATCTGCTAGCTGAGTGAGGGCCTCTCTCTAGATGGGAAGTAACATTTCCCTCCCACTGGAGAAGAACTCTAATGCCACAGAACTCTTCTGCTAGAGGAGGGGTGGAATGTGACCATGGAGTAGAAGGTTTGGTGTGCCATCTATGGTGTGGCGGCACCTGAAATGATGGAACATTGTGATCTATGAAGTTTCAGAACCTATAACAACAAATGTGTGCACAAACTAAAGGACACTGAAGGATATCCTATCTAGACAGAGCAGGATTTATAATCTACCACTTGGACTAGCAAACTTCCTCCATTTGTTTCCATAAGATTTCTCCTGGAGCACAGACATTACATAATGCACAAACACTGCAAGGCGGCCTGCAAGTCCAAGCAGCAAGTTGCAGGTCATCCTCTGAAGGGCCATCAGACACAGAGCAGGTCCACAGCGGGAGGATGGAGCTGGACCAAAAGGAATCCTGGGGATGACTTCTCACCTGATCATTTGTTCACTCTTCTAAACCACACCACTGAGGGTGGCCGCTATGAATACTTCTTACCTTTATAAACAGGGCCTGAGATGTGGCAGGGCCCACTAACCACCCTCAGTCAAGGCCATCTCAATGCATTGACCTTTCAGGAAGTTGCCAAAGGCATTACCAGGTGGCTAGGCAGGGGCAGTTTCTGTGATGATTGTGGCAAAGGAGGCAGTGGGTACTGAGAGCCAGAGGAGAAAGAGGATGAGCTGACTGGGATGCCAAAGACACTTGGTTAATGTTCAGCTCAGGGTTACAAGGTGGGACTAAGAATCCAGGGAAAGTTGAGCCAAAGACTAGAAAGGATGAGAAGTAGTTCTTGTTTCCTTTCTCTGTAACCAAAGTTACACTGACTAGAAAAATCTGAGACCACTGAGGTACTGAGCACTTGGGCATTGTTAATCCAGACCCAGAATCTAGGAATCAGGAGACCAGATGAAACAGGTGCAACAGCAGCAAGAGGGCCATGTACACAAATACATCTGCTTGCAAGTTGGTAATCTGAAGAGATGACCAATGTTCATTCTGGTTTTTAGGGTCTATTTTGAAGATGGTGAGTCTACGACAGTTATGGGGGGAAGCCTGCAACAATGTGACTGGATGGTTCTAGTTGACCTTGTCAAGAAGGGGAATGTGCACTGTGGTTAAACTGTCTTGCAGCTGAGGCTGCTGGAGGACAAATCACTGCCAACTGCATGGGAGGTTCCTTCCTTTCTAGTGATTTCAGGGGGATGTTTCCCCAAGAAGACATTTATGACACTTGTGTGGAAAAGACTAGGATATATCTTTACATAAGCACTTGCTTAAACAAAAAAGTAAGTAATTGTATATGTATTATGTATCCACTTAACACTCAGCTGTCATTCAATTATTGTACTTAGACTTTACATACATAATTGAAAGACAAAAATTTCTTATGTTCCACATCCTGATCTAACGCCCTCTTCTGGTAACCAGTCAGCACAGTGCACAGATATATGTGCAGGCAAAACACCGATACACATAAAAAATAAATACTTAAGTCATTTAATAATTCTAGTGAATTGTTACTGTGCAAAAGTAGAGATTAGCAAAACTAATCACTGGTATGTTCTGAAAGTATGTATAGCAACACAGCCAGTACTAAAATATATCAGCCTGGTGATATTCACTGTCATAATTTAAACTCTCCTAAACTGACTGAAAAGATGAACATCAACTCTCTGGGGCCATTGTTGCAGACACTGAACTACAGGGCACCTCAGGATTCCTGGGAGGACTCCACCCATGCTGTGCACTATGCTTGGCACTTCTCCTCCCATTGTAGCCACAGTGTAGAACCAGAAAGGAACACTGAAGCTCCTCCCCGAGGTTTTTCTATCCATTTATCATACAAACTCCCTTCACTCAGTCTCCAGCTCTACTCTTACATTAAGTTTGGGGTAGAAAAGGTCAAACATAACTGCCTGATGTCATGAACTGTCCAAGACTATTTTGTAAACACTCCCTAGACAACAAAAAACACACACCTTTTAAAAACATGCTTACCCAGGCAGAAGGGTTGAAGAGCGTCCTTCACAGGAATTTCACAGGTAAAGTTCAGTCTTTGAAGGGCTTTTGTGGTTATGAAGGACTTTATTATTTCAGGACATGGTTTTAGTACTAAGTAGCTGGCAGCATAGAGCACATATCGAAACCAGCACAAAAGTGGAGTGGCAAACCTGCCATTGGGCGTCTCAGACATACGCTCAATAGTGGGAAATAGCAGGAAGGTGTGGATGACCTAAAAGAAAAAAAGACACTGGATGAGAGGTTTTCTTACACTAGAGCCCCCAGGTAGGCTGTTCTTCCTATACTGTCTTGACAGTGACCAGGCCTAGACCACCATTAGAGACATGCATGGTCAGACCAAACTAAAGCCGACTGTATTCTTACCCCATGACTACTCTGGAGAGAACCTGAGCTCATTCCTGGTTGCATTGTGGCTAACTGCTGGAAGGAGGAGAAATGGTAGGAACTTCCTCGATCACGATGGTAATTAACCATTCCCTTGAAAGATTACTGAAGTAGGAACTAATACACAGACTTGATTTTGATGGTACCCAAGAGAGCAGGGCCACAAACAAGGCTCCATTGCTATCAGCATGCCTTTATTGATCTGACTGGAAAAGTTTCCTTTTCAAAAACTCTTCTATTCCTAATGTTAACAGCCAAGGATACTCTTTAAAAGGACCACATATGTTCCCAACAATGGATTGTAACAGGAATATTGCAAAGTGGGTTTCTCTCAACTTCACTGCAGTGTTGAAGGTTAAAAGCATCAATATGGCTCAGGAAGAAAAACAGAAATACATACAAATACTGCTACAGGTGAAAATGAATGTCCCTCAAACCATTTGAAGTCCAACAGTATTTACCACATGGTTACTACTGAACTATGTGAAAATTATCTCTTCAGGAACATAAATGGGGTACCTCAATAATATTAAAGGATCATAGAATAGAAAAATGAGAACAGAGACTATCCATTAAGTTTCTTGACCTTTATTTTTATATTATATGTATGGGTATTTTCCTTGCATGCATGTCTGTGCACCATGTGTATGCAGAAGCAGGAAGAGGCTGGTGGATCCCCCTGGGACTAGAATTACAGACAGTTGAAAGCCATTATGTGAGTGCAAGGGATCAAACTCTTAAAGAGCAGCAAGTGCTCTTAACCACTGAGCTATCTCTCCAGACCTATCCCCTTAATTTTTTAATACACTTGAACATTTCTTTAATGTGTGTTTGTGGGGGGGGGTGCACGCCCGCATGCGTGTGCACACCTGTGTGTACTTGTGCACACACATGACTGAACAAGTGTATGCCAGGGTGTACAAGTGGAAATCACAGATAATTTGTGGGAGTCAATTCACTCCCACTATGAACTCAGGATGTCAGGCTGGGCATCAGTCCTTGCTTTATCCTTAAGCATTTTAAGTTAAACACTACATTCAGAGAGGCATGTCAAATATAAATGTGCAACAAAGCAAGTAATTATAAACCAATCATGAGGCATAAGAAGACGCAAAGAGCAGAGCCTGCCTGTGAGTCTCCAGTTACAAGGCTTCATGTCAACATCCATCACCTCCTAATGGCAGTTCTTTTTCTGTGTCACATCATGCTCACTGTCCCTTCCACCTGAGATGCTCTTTGTTAATGAATTTTATGTAACACGGCACACTTCAGTTTTACTTCTTTTATTCAACCTCATGTTTATAAACTTCATCTTTGCCAATTTCATCTTTGCTAATTTCCCACTATATGATTTTTATATTGTATATTTTACTGATATTTGAGTTGGTTTCAATCTTTATTCAGATCTTACTTTCTGTTTTTTTGTTGTTGTTGTTGTTTTTTAAGATTTTATTTATTGTGTATACAATGTTCTGCCTGTATGTATGTTTGCAGGCCAGAAGAGGGCACCAGATCTCATTACAGATGGTTGTGAGCCAACATGTCGTTGCTGGGAATTGAACTCAGGACCTCTGGAAGAGCATTCAGTGCTCTTAACTCTGAGCCATCTTTCCAGCCCCAGATCTTACTTTCTAATCCAGTGTTTTCTGTCTGAAGAAAGTAGCACAGGTCTTGCAAAGGCTGGTACAGACACCAACCCTCGTCAGCTGTTTTTATCTGAAGGGTCATTACATCTCCTTAATCTCTGAAGGACAATCTCACAGGTTAGAGAATTCCAAATTAGTATTTTTTTTCTTCTCCTCCACAATAAATATGTCACATCTCCTCTCTTCCTGTTAGTGTGGCTTCTGGGAAGGTGGAAATGATTCCCGCCTTCCCTTGTCTGTAAGTAACATGCCTATTTTTTCTCCTTGTCTCTCAGGATTTCATTATCTTGACCTCCTGTAATATGGAAAGTCATAACTAACTGTAGCATGTTTTAGGGAGGTGTTAAGCCAGTGTGGTGTCTTCTCAGGTCCCTGGGTGTGTGGTGTCTGACATGAACTTAGTCTTTATCCTTTACAGGTACTTTGTGTTTCTCTCCTTCGGTATTCTTGTTAGTCTTTTTGTTTGTTTGTTTGTTTTTGTTTTTGTTTTCTCTAGACAGGGTTTCTCTGTGGAGCTTTGGAGCCTACCATGGCATTCTCTCTGTAGACCAGGCTGGCCTCGAACTCAAAGAGATCCACCTGCCTCTGCCTCCCTAGTGCTGGGATTAAAGGTGTGCGCCACCACCACCAGTTCTCCTCATACTCTTGTCACATCTTTTGCAGAGTCCTACAGTCTTCTGATACTAATTTTCCTGGTTCTCTGCCTTTTGACTTTAGAGGTTTCTATTGAGATATCTTCAAGCTCAGAAATCCTTTACTCACCATGTTCAAGTTACTCAGTACTCAACAAAGGCCATCTTCATTTCTGTTACAGGAGCTTTGATGGGCAGCATCTCCCGTAGCTCATAGGAGTCATGTTGGCCACTTGTTCTATTAGAACTTTTAATGTGTCTGTCACAGTTGCTCAGAATTCCTGGCCTGCTAATCTTCACGTTCCTGCATATATGGCTCTGTTGCTTACTCCACTTCTCAAGTTGTGCCTTTTGCTACTTAGCATGTCTTATAATATTTTTCTCGCTAGCTAGACATAATATATAAGGATAATTAGCTGCTGCAAATATGGGGTTAATAACATAGTGCTCTTGTATAATTCACAGTGAATCTTTGCCTCTGCTTTCAGCCAGAAATAAGGGGGAATAATTCTACAATATCTACTGTGACAGCCCAGTAGAACCTTGGGAGACAATTCTCAAAGCTATATAGTTCCCGCACATATGGGACTCCTGGAATTTTTAAACATCAGAGTTCTCTACTCTAAGCCTTCAATATTTAGTCAACCACTGTGCAGCTTCTCCCTTCTTGATGCTGGCTCCTACCAGGGTTTCAACTTGTGACTCTACACTCCAATAAGCTGTCACACCTTGTATGCCCCCATCTTTCACTCTGACATTTGGTGGCCATCAAGCCTGATTGACTTTACATGGGATCTAGGGATCTGAACTTGGTCTTCATGCATGAATGGCAAGTGCTCTGCCTGGTGAGTCATCTCTCCAGACCTCTCTTGCTTTTTCAATACCTGTTATGTGAAATTTTTCCTGAAGAAATAGGAATCAACATCTGCTCACCCATTTAGGGCATCAAGGACAGAAACAAAGAAATGATTCCACCCAGTGAGTTTGCCTGAGGTTATTTTCAGAACTGTCAGCAACTTACAGGTGCTACACTGTTAGGAAACACTGTCTTTCCAAGCAACTGTTAATTGTTAAAATTTCCTGGGGAGGGAGTGGGGCTGGGTGAGCCCCTCCTCTGCCCTATGAGGGAAAGTGAATGAACTCACTTCTGTTCAAGTGTCCTTCCAGGAATTAGAGCTGCATACTGTTCAACAGGGCAACAGGGCAATGGCCAAACCATATCTAGAGGACAGTGTGCCACGACAATAGTCACCTTGACATATCCTCAGGGGTGCAACTTTGTGCCTCTGATTTGTATGTCCCTGGTGAGCAGTGATGCTGAACATATTTTCAGATATGTACTGCAAATGATATGTGTTTTTGAAGACATATCTAATCAAGTTTTGATCATTTCTATATTGGGTTTGGTCTTCTCTTTTAAAAACATTATATTTTAACATTTAGTTATTGTGTATGTGTGGGGGGCATGCACACACACAAAGTGCACACATGTAGATTACAACATGTGGGAGGGAGTCCATTGTTTCCTTCCAACATTGGGGACCTAACTCAGTCTTTACCTAGGAAGACATGGCGCTCACCAGATCTTCCCTTTTCCAGTTACTGTTCTTTGTGTTTTTTAAAAGAAAGTCTTCTCTAACTGCTAATGAAGAACTTGTTTTTTCATTCAAAATGTTTATTTATATTAAATTAGATATGCTGGCCGTTATCTTCTCTACAATGTAGTCCCAAGCCTTTGGCTGTATTACATCAATGTGGGTCTGTTCTCTGATTTCAGATATCAATGAATGTTTGACCATTGTTTTCATGTATTTCTAGGTCTCTGAGTGGAACCAATGCACTTTTCCTGTGGGTCAGTTTCGGTCTCTTTAATCTCCTGGAGTAGGCAGTTCCCTTCTCATGGTCACCTGTTTGATGACATTACCCAAATGCCGAATTTGGTCAGGTGTCCCCTAGAATTCTCTCTGTATTTCTCACTAATATGGAACAGGGATTTGAGAGTGAAATCTGAGGAGAGTTTTTTCTTTCTAGTCAGATCTTGTTTTTTCTTGGTCCTATCTCTCAGCTAACTATACCGCTATTTCCTGTAGACTTTTCCTTCCACAATAGTTGAGATAGTTTGTTTCCATTTTGGTCACAATAATTCGAGATTCTCTGAGTTTCCTCCTGTCTGATAAGAAAGTATTGCTCCTGGAGTTCCTGCACTGCCTGGATGATGACTGAAAATGCTTTGGGGGGAAGGGAGCTTTTTCACACAACTTGAACTGCTGCTTTGATAGCAGTGCATTGCAAATGCTGCACCATGCTTCTTAGACAAAATGCAGCTTTTCAACCACAATATAAAGAGAGATTCTGAAGCCACCGAGAAAGTATGTTTTGTACATTTTCTACACCTGCGAAGTAGGTATTTCTCACGTTACTTCAACACTAAAAAGCATGCTTTAGGAATCTGAGGGGTAAAACTAATAAAAAAAAAATCTTTCAGGACTCGGAGTGGTGTTATATTAACCAATAACTTTCCACCTCCCAATTCAAAGTTCTATATTTTA